GCCAGGAGAGGACAGGATAGGTAAGGTCCCCAGTTATGAGGGATGATGAATCCACTGACTGAGCTCCATCCGAGGGTGCTGAAGGCACTCGCCGACATCATTGCAGAGCCACTGGCGGGAATATTTGAAAGCTCGTGGCGCACGGGCCAAGTCCCGGAGGACTGGAAAAGGACCAACGTGGTCCCCATTTTCAAAAAGGGGAGGAAGGAGGACCCGGGCAACTATAGACCAGTCAGTCTCACCTCCATCCTTGGCAAAGTCTTTGAAAAAATTATCAAAGCTCACATTTGTGAGAGCCCAGCAGGACAAATTATGCTGAGGGGAAACCAGCACGGATTCGTGGCAGGCAGATCGTGCCTGACCAATCTAAATTCTTTTTATGACCAGGTTACGAAACGCCTGGACACAGGAGGAGGGGTGGATGTCGTATACTTAGACTTCAGGAAGGCCTTCGATATGGTATCCCACCCCATACTGGTGAACAAGTTAGGAGGCTGTGACTTGGATGACTACACAGTCCGGTGGGTGGCGAATTGGCTGGAGGGTTGCACCCAGAGAGTCGTGGTGGATGGGTCGGTTTCAACCTGGAAGGGTGTGGGAAGTGGGGTCCCACAGGGTTCGGTCCTTGGACCGATACTCTTTAATGTCTTCATCAGTGACTTGGACGAGGGAGTGAAATGTACTCTGTCCAAGTTTGCAGATGACCTAAAGCTATGGGGAGATGTGGACATGCCGGAGGGCAGGGAACAGCTGCAAGCAGATCTGGACAGGTTGGACAAGTGGGCACAAAACAACAGAATGCAGTTCAACAAGGAGAAATGCAAAGTGCTGCACCTAGGGAGGAAAAATGTCCAGCACACCTACAGCCTAGGGAATGACCTGCTGGGTGGCACGGAAGTGGAAAGGGATCTTGGAGTCCTAGTGGACTCCAAGATGAACATGAGTCGGCAGTGTGACGAAGCCATCAAAAAAGCCAATGGCACTTTATCGTGCATCAGCAGATGCATGACGAATAGGTCCAAGGAGGTGATACTTCCCCTCTATCGGGCGCTGGTCAGACCGCAGTTGGAGTACTGCGTGCAATTCTGGGCGCCGCACTTCAAGAGGGATGCAGATAACCTGGAGAGGGTCCAGAGAAGGGCCACTCGTATGGTTAAGGGCCTACAGACCAAGCCTTACGAGGAGAGACTAGAGAAACTGGATCTATTCAGCCTCCGCAAGAGAAGGTTGAGAGGCGACCTTGTGGCTGCCTATAAGTTCATCACGGGGGCACAGAAGGGAATTGGTGAGTATTTATTCACCAAGGCACCCCCGGGGGTTACAAGAAATAATGGCCACAAGCTAGCAGAGAGCAGATTTAGACTGGACATTAGGAAGAACTTCTTCACAGTTAGAGTGGCCAGGGTCTGGAACGGGCTCCCAAGGGAGGTGGTGCTCTCCCCTACCCTGGGGATCTTCAAGAAGAGGTTAGATGAGTATCTAGCTGAGGTCATCTAGACCCAGCACGCTTTCCTGCTTATGCAGGGGGTTGGACTCAATGATCTATTAAGGTCCCTTCCGACCCTAACATCTATGAATCTATGACTGTGATACTAGGAGCCCCAAGGGTATCAACTACATTCTCCACCAACTGGGGGAGGGTGGAGTTGCAGATGACCCAGGCATCATGGTCACTACATGCCCAGCTGGCAAGGATGTAAGTGAAATGACTATGGTGTTCAAAAATGCCCTGCAGCACAACAAAGAGGAATCCTCTTCTTCTCTGTTGTGTCAGAAGCTGAGGAAGCTTGGGTTGACAAGATAGGTGAAGTGATTCACATTGTGTGTGACCCTACACCCCTTGTAGACCACCACCCTGGCCATGGACTTGCCCAAGCCAGACTGGTTGGTGATGGAATGGAGGCTGTTGGGGATGGCAAGCTTTCAGATGGTGATGATGACTCACTTCTTCAGAGTCACATATTGCTTTATACTGATGTTCTGCCACTTGATATGGGGCCTAGTTAGGTGATGATGTCTGTGAAGTTGGCCCAGCACATGCATAATTTCTGCAGCTACTGTTTGTCATCCCAGGTGCACAGGATGATATGTTTTCACCAGGTGCCGTTAGCCTTGTGGCTCCTGAACCACTGGGTGATGGTCTCAAAGTGCTCCCAGAGTACTCCAGGTCAATGGCTTCCAAAAGGACCCTGGCTTCATCAGTCAGATAGTAGTTAGCTGATTCCAGCATATTTGGTTGCTGTAGGGTATTAGCCCCTCATGGGAAATCAGGCTGCTGGATCCTAAATTGGAAGAAGCAGGACACTGTGATTATCTGGGAGGGCACCTTCAGATGGGCACGTGTAATCCCCCACATCCTCTAGTGAGAGAGGTATGGGGTGACAAGAAGGGTGTGCCTGTGCTCCTGGATTGATAGGCTTGTGTGCAAGGGACAGGAATCCACGGCAGGATAAGTGCAGGGAAACTGATACACTTGCAGGGAACAAGAAAGGGAGCATGCTCAGGGTCTTTCTCTGAGAGCCTCAGAGCAGGGAGGGATCGGGGAGGGATTACTATACCCGGGAGTCCCCCCCCCCGCCAAGTCAGCCATTTAGGGCTGCCCTGTGTGCCCAGCTGCTCTTGGCAATCTCTGGCAGCCCAGGATTGTAATTTACTGCCAGTGCAGGCTGCCTTAGCACTTTCTCCCCAAATCCCAAATGATTTTATGATGATCTATTGATGAGGGTTTAGGCCACTCAAACTAAATCCCATAGCTTGGACTGGATCGCTATGAGCTACAGGTGGCACAGGCAGCCTCCTGGTGTGGCATGGAGCAGACTGGGGAGGGGGGCAGAGAGCAGAAAACAATGCAGATGTTTGATCCCCTTCCCTTGGCCTGAGTGGAACTCAGGGAAGGTGTGAGCCTTAATTAGTGGCATGCCTGCCAAAAAGGTTGACCCCTACTGATCCACTACAATAGATTTAACAGCTTGCTCCATCCTCAGAAGACACTTCAATATATGCGCTTCTGAGTTGGGACAAGCTGAGCAGTTGAGGTGGAGGCAAACACTGGAAGTTATCCCGTGTCTGTGTATGCCCCATTGTGAAATAGGTACTAGAGTTCTTGCAAAGGAGGCTAACAGTACATTTTCCTTCACTGCAATGCCTGAAGAGTTGGACCAACTTTGCTCCTGAGGAAAGTTGACAGTTTTTTGTTATGAAGATAATTCTACCTTATTTATGCACTGATGTACAATCCCTCTGGGTTTCAGAAAGTTATGTAGTAGAGAGTCTGGATGATCCATTGGTCCATTTCATAACAGGGGTAAATCAGCATAACAGCAAAGAAGCTATATTATTTCAATCAATACCAGCTGAGAATCCATGAAATGAACCCTTGTCTTTTGGGGTGGGGGAAAAATAACTGGGGGGGGGGGGGGGGGGGG